TTATCGAAAGATAAAATATTGTTTAAATATAGCTCAAGAGATAAAAAAAGGTTTAAAAATTGTTAGAAAGATAAAAAAATGTTAATAAAAATTGCTCGAGAGATAAAATAGTGTTAGAAATTATTAAAATTTTGCTCAAAAATTGCACGATCAAATATTGTTCAAAAATAGCTTGGTAAATAGGTAAAAGAGCTGTTAAAAATTGCTCAAGTGATTAAATAGTGTTAAAAATGTTACAAAAAATTTTGTGCAAACATTATTCGAGAGATAAAAAAAAGTTGTTAAAAATTGCTCGAGAGATAGAATACTGTTGGAAATTTATCGAGAGATAAAATATTTTTTAAAAATAGCTCAAGAGATAAGAAAAGGTTTTTTAAAAACTGTTCGAGAGATAAAATATTAAAAGGTATTAAAATCGTTTTTAAAAATTGCCCGGGAGATAAAATAGTGTTAGAAATTGTTAAAATTTTGCTCAAAAATTGCACGAGAATTCAAATATTGTTCAAAAATAGCTTGAAAGATAAAAAACTGTTAAAAATTGCTCGAGTGATTAAATAGTGTTAAAAATTTTGTACAAACATTGCTCGAGGGATAAAAAAACGTTGTTAAAAATTGCTGGAGAGATAGAATACTGTTAGAAATTTATCGAGAGATAAAGTATTGTTTCAAAATAGCTCAAGAGATAAAAAAAAATTAAAAACTGTTCGAGAGATAAAAGAGTATCAAAAGGTATTAAAATCTTATTCAAAAACTGCTGGAGAGATAAAATAGTGTCAGAAATTTGTCGAGAGATAAAATATTGTTTAAAATTGTTGTGTTCGTGTTCTCTATAAACCTTTTTTTGCTCTTTAATGACCAAACTTCATAATTAGAAAAATCTGGTAATTTTATAGAATCTAGTACATTTTTATGAAATCTGGTACATTATAAAAATATATTCTGGCAATACTGTTCATGAATCCCGTAAACAATTAATTCAGTTAAAAAATTAAACCTTCTGTACTCCGATTAGCACCCAAATTTTTCACTAAAGTAACCTTTCTAATTTTAACATTAAAATGTATAAAACATTAGAGACAGCTGTCAAAAGAAGAGGCTTCAAAAAGTAAACGTCCAACAATTTCCTGTGTGAAAATGATTCATAAAAATTCAAATTTAAAATTAGAATTTTTCAATAAAGCAACACTTTTTTATGAACATAAGCTACATAAGAACTAAAGAGTGAGCTGTCAAAATAAAAGGCTACAATTTTCTCTATTAAAATTACTCTTACAAGTTCAAATTTAATTTTTTTTTTTTTCAATAAAACAATCTTTTTTGTTTTGAACATAAAATGTATAAAAATTAGGTTGAGCTGTCAAAAGTAGAGGCTTTAAAAAATAATCGTCCAACAATTTTCTATGTGAAAATGACTGAATGAAGTTCAAATTTAAAATTACATTTTTTTCAATAAGGCAATCCTTTTTTTTATGAACGTAAGCTTTATAAGATTTACAAAGTGAGCTGTCAAAATAAGAAACTACCATTTTCTGTGTAAAAATGACTCTTAAAAGTTCAAATTTAAAACTAGACCAATCTCTTAATGTTGGAGACCAATTCTCAAACCATATTTTAGCATCGACCAATAAAAAGCGTTCAACTCTTACCAGTATCTGCTGGTCTTACCACTCAAATTTCTCTTTATCTTTTCGAACTGTTGTATCCAAACCTTAGAATCGTCGGTATCTGACCAAAATAAAAGCAAATTAACTTGTTCTGGAGTTTTTCTGCTGTTTTTGAAACTGTGCAACATCTCTGCTAATAAATCATCCTTGATACACTTTCGTTTTAAATGTGAAAACGTGAACAGGATCCACACCTCTGATGTTAGAAGTTAAAAGAATTAACTTCAAAATGATTGTTTTTAAATGATTTAGCACCCTGTATAGCCACTTCATAAAACACGTGTTAACATAGTTTTATAACGTTTTATTAAATATCTCGTAAACAATGTTTGAAATGTAATTAATTAAGGAACAAAATAAAGAATGTCTTTAAAGGGCATAAGGCCTATCACTATCACTCTCCTGGTCCTGGACACTGAAACGGGTAGACGTGGTATTGTCGACCCCAGTGGCGGCGACATCCTAATTCGCTGACTCTAACAATATATTATCTGTAACCATCAATAAATAAAAAAATAAATAATTTGTTAGGTATGAAATAATATTTTCTATAATATTAACACTCCATTAAACCCCCAGATTGTATAAAAGTATATTTATATAAGGTACAACACAATACAATATCTCAAAGGTTCACTAGATTTTTATTACAATGGCAAGTGTATGATGCAAAAAAATAGATTTACTTGCAAATGGTACTAAACATAGTTTTTGTAATAAATGTTAACTTAATTATACAAGGTGAGTCATGAGAAACCTAATAAAAAAATTAACGAAAATGTGACAAACATGTTACATACACAGTTTTGATTGTCTTTTTTGTGACAGGCTTCTGGTTTTACCTACAGTGAAGTAGGAAGTCTGTATGGCGCTAAGGTGGTAAAAGCAGAATAAGGGCTGCTCGGGCGCCAGTTTTGGTAACACAATTTGCCCTGCGACTCTTAGTACACCAGAGTGTACTTAAAATTAACTCAGTGGAGTTAAAAGTACCTCCAGGCGGTCACTGCTAACGAGGTAGTCACTGAATTATAATTAAAGACACTGATCTCCCTTAGACCTCGTACCCTGCGGTACCCCATGGTACTCTGAAATAAAACGGTTAAGAGCCGGTAGTAAAAGGATCACAGGGATTATTAACAAAATATATTTACAACAAAAAAAATAATTACACATCAGGCGCGATATCGGCACCCCGTGTATACAGAAAAATAAATTTTCCAATAAATAAAATTAATTAAATATAACGGTTGAATAATACGGTCCCTGTATACAGAAACTAATTTTTTTTCAACAAATAAAATTTATTAAATATAACGCTGAATTGTAAAGAAACTAAAACAAAATTAATACGGAAATTTACAGCGCCCCTGTATAAACAATAAATTTTCTGCAATAAATTACTACTTTAGTTAAGTATTAACGAGAAGATATGTATTAATTAAATACCACGAAAAAATAATAAAACGCTAAAAGAATTAAATCGGTTAATTTCGGGATAAATTTTTTTTTCACAAATCAATTATTTAAATGTTTAACGGTTAAATGATAATGGGGTCTATTCTGTAACAATTCCTTTATATTTAACGGCCTTTAAAAATATTGGCGGCCTCTAAAAGTATATTTGTATTCGTTAATTTACTTCTGTCATTATTTAAACAGATTTCTTTAAGATAGTCCTCTAATGTATTTTAAAGATCCGTTTAAATAATGACAGAAGTAAAAAAGAAAATATTTTTAAAGGCCGTTAAATATAAAGGAATTGTTACAGAATAGACCCCATAGAAACTTAAAATAATCAAAACAAAATTTTCGGGGGTTCCTATGTGCAGAAAATAAAGTTTTCCACTAGTAAATTATTTAAATGCAACGGTTGAATAATACAGAGGTTAAAAATATTTGATACGGGAGTTTACGACGCTCCTGGTATACAGAAAATGAATTTACCAATAAATAAAATTATTTCAATATAGTGGTTAAATAATACAGAGACTAGAAATATTTAAAACGGAAATTATGGGGCTCACTGTCTGCAGATAATTCGTTTACCTCGTAGGCAAGGCGAGGGTCATGACGTCGGCGATGGCTATACAAATCAATTAGAAAATTAACAATTCGCGGTGATGGCCCCTCGGTTCTCTGTCTTCGAAGGAACCCAGGAGCTCCGCAGGTTGGTCGGTTTGGAGAATCGGCAGGATTATTTCGCGTTAACTGTGATACACTCGTGGTTATTAGAAATGCTAGGCAGGACAGCGTGTTGCAAAACTTCCTGAATCAGAGCTTGTTCGGGAGGTCTACAGTTAGCTCGACTTAGGGAGGTTTGACAACGCTAATTCGCGAAAATTCAAATATTTATTTGTTTCTAATGAGGCGGCGGGACGGAACCAGTAACTTCGTATCGAAAAAAATTGAAGATGACCTACCTTGATTTATAATCGGAAATACAGAAAAACTAAACGGTTCACTTACTTCGTATCACTATTTCGGTGAAGAGCTTCGGAGGAACTAAAAGACACTACAGTGGTCAGTAGTCAAAAGCCGAAATTTGTTTCCTCATTCATATTTATGCCCTTCTAGCAGAAGAGCTCGACGTCTGCACAATTTCGGAATGGGAGAAATCACCCCCATTTTTGGACTGTCGAAATAAAAAATGTCATTCCAATAACTTGGCAAATCAACCTAGATAATTTGCATGAAATTAAATATTTTAATCCAAATATGAATTACGGTACATATGAGAATATTTTAAACTATGAGGGCTCTCTTAAATTTGCAAAACCGGGAATTACTAGGAAACCAAAATACGTTCCCCAGCGGAAATTAATTAAAATACACATTTTTATAATTAATTAAAATTAAAATTTATTAACTTCGTCACTATCTATGTTACTTTGAAAATCTCTTATTATAATTTTAAAAATCGTATACAGGGCGAACTTTTGATATAAATCGTCGAGGTTAATTTTTTCTTATTTAACTATTAATAAAGAAAATGATATGTATATAGAAATTGATAAATATGTTTAAGTTTAAATCGTGGCACTTATTTTTAATTTATTTTGATTTACTCTGTTGTTAAAATAAATAAATATTGTATTGAAATTTTTTGTTATTATTTTTCCAGTAAATTTCATAAATCAGCAGTGTTAACTAAATAAACTTAAAAATATGTACTTTGTTAGTATATTAAATATTTATTATCAAAAAGTGTGGTAGTAGAAGAATTATAGTATGCAACAAGGGCAATCGTATACTTTTTAAATTATATGCTATTATTTTAGATATGTTTTATTTTTATTCCATCACATTTTTATCTACTATTATTTTTATTATTTTCAGGTTAAAGTAATATTACGAATTTCAAATCCAGTATGTTTGGGGGCCACCGCGGATATGGATAGATATAACAGTTTTCTCACTTTAGATAAACGAAAGAAACAAGTAACTTTAATTGATCCCTCCGTTTGTAATGGGTTAACTCCAGAAGACAGACGTGTGGGTGTCGCTGCTCCTAAAATGTTTGCATTTGATGCCATTTTTTCTCAAGACGACTCACAGGTACAGTTTTATTTAATTTGATTGGTAATATTAATAAAAATTAAAAAAGAAGCATAATTTCAATCTGCCGAAATGCAACTGAGCAAATTTCAAAGCATCTATTTTATCTTCCTCTGCAATAATGAATCCTTTTAAAGTACTAGTTTTAGTTTATGGTATTTTAACTAGTAAATATGTATATTTGTCTTCTTTATTCTAGTCATGTATACAAGCACATCCCATCTTAATATCCTTTTAATACGTTGGGTTCCTCGAAATGTATCCTTTAAATTTCATTTTTTAGAACGAGGAAAACAGAAAATATCATTATTTTCGTTACCAATTATTAATCTTGCGGATTAATTCGATAAGAAGATACTTTATAAGGGAATTTTGTTAAATATTCATTATTAAGACAGAGTTGAGCTAGTGTACGGATAAACTGATTGGGTATCTGAATTTGTAAGTAATCTTGGAGGGTTGTTTTAATATCATAGTGTCTATACAATGTTAATTAGGTTGATGGTTGCATAAAAGCTGCATTTTTTTATGAAAATATTTGGATAATATGGTTGTTTTGTTCTGTTTAAGAAATTGACAATTTATTTGTGACCACTCCAGTCTGCGGCCTTAAAATATATTTTTAACCGTAGTACATAGTTATACCTTGAATCACTTGAATAAACAAAGGTTCAAAAAGCTTAAAAATATATTTTTGGAAGACGAAAATCTTCCATTTACACTATTAATAATTTTATCACCCAGTTGATTGTGTTTTTAACACCACTTTAAAAATTTTACTCCTTCTATCTCTAGTCTGACAGAGAAATAGTAAAGATGTCACAAACAATTAATAATAAAACTGACATCAGCAAGTTTATACAATACATATCTTTAGTTTTCAATAGTTTTCAAGGACTTCAGCAATCTAGGTAACGTTATACCTTTTTTTTCGTATATTTTGACAGGGTGACTCGAATTTAAAGTCTAGTAATTGAGCTGCTAAAAGTGCACGTTACATTAATGCTAATTTCTTTGGTTTCAAAAGAATAAACAGCAGAGGGCTTAATACATCACCCTGAAGTAACCCAGTGGTCACCTCGAATGATTTTGTTAATCTCTCAGTTGCACATATTTTTATTTTAGATGTTTTATAGATGTTTCTTACTAGCGATTTAATTCTGGTACTCCAACTGTATGACCATCCATTCCTTCCCACCTCCCTGTCTAAATGGGTCATTAAATGTTTTCTAATTAGTGTTATACGCATGCGTGTTAGAAAAATGGAACGCCATTATGCATGGGTGCGATAGAAACTCCTACTGGAATAAACTGATTATGTTTTGATATGCCAGTATATTTTTTTTATTTTTCAGACGGAAATCTGTTCTGGTGTCCTAACAGATGTGATTCATTCTGTCATAAATGGAACCGATGGCTGTTTATTTTCATATGGGCAAGTGGGTTTAGGTAGGTAACAATTTTTATTTACAACCATATATGTAATGTTGTCATTACTAACGTTATTAAAGGTTGGGAAGTGTCACATTACACACGTCTACTTCCCGCCCTCACTTCCCGCCCTCATTTTATCTATTCTAGATGAATATTTTTTATATTAAAAAAAAATAACACATTTTTTTGACAAATTTTATAATACCTATTTAATGGCAAACAATAAAAAACAACAATGAACTAAAATATAATAAATTACTTATTGATATTTATTATTATTCGCGAATTTAATATCCGGCTTTATCTGACATTTATTTATATTGGTGACAGTTGTTTACCCCGTTATCACAGTAACAATATATTTACCTACTTGATTATTCTGAGAAAACCGCGCGCTTGGTAATTTGTCGAAATGTAATATTTTAGGTATGTTCAGAACAAAACAGAGATTTATTAACTTTGATCGAAATATGATGGTTGTAAATAAAATAGTATACAAATCTCGGTAGAAAGTTTTATTCCTGTCTCGAGATCATAGCTAACCTCGACGCTTCGCGTCTCGGTGATCTAATTAATCTCACGACAGGAATGAAACTCTTCCCACCTCGGTGTGTAATATACTATTAAACATAATTTATAAAGTCTGTGAATGTTATTAATTAGGAGTTTTAGAAACACCACATTATTTGGATTTCTAATTAATATTGTATTTATGTACATTCACATCATCTTAATATATCAATTTTAAATGAAAAACCCTGTTGAAACAATATGGTGCCAGGTAGACCAAGATAAGTAAGCAGAAGAGAAGTTCGCAACCAGATCCAGATGATACTAAGAGAAATACTATTCAAAAGCTTCAGGATTGAATATAAATTTAATTCTATTAATACATTCCAACTGTTCGATATTAATCCATCAATCGCAATCATTTTAACCAAATTAAAACATAAAAGCAGAAATACTGCCAATAATAGTTATTTTATACACGAGTGCAAAGTAATGATCGAAAAACAAAAAAAATGCCCTAGATAGTAACACTTAGAGAAGATAATTTGAAGGGTTATTCCTAAAGTAGAATTTTGAACTGCACCGTATTATCATTAAGAAACTTACATTACAATGTTGATATAAATAAAACTGTTCTAAAAGGTGATAATGAAAACAATGAATTTAGAGCGGGCGCCATGTGTATGTATATGCAGAGTATGAAGACGGCATATTTCGTCATTGGTTTATCGGAGCACCGAAGGTGTCCACGTCTACACCTGTATCCTTTACACTTCTTCAACATGCTACTTTCCAAAGCATGTCTATCCTAAAACCGTATAGGTAAGAAGAACTAAACTAAATATAAAAGTGACCGAAGAGTACCTACCTTACACTTGTTAAAAATAAAAAAACGATTTATCATTCTATACGCAGGCAGTAATAAGGATTTTGTTCCTAATGCTCTTTTATTGTCAGCCAAAAATATAAAACAGTTATATGCTAACTACCATGAAGATATGACCACCAGTCCCTTTGATAAGTTTTTTAATGAACAACTGCTGGCAAATCTTTCTCCAAATTCTGTTATTGTTATGGACAATGCGCCTTGTCATTCCCGTTTACATAACAAAATTCCTAATAGCAGCACAAAAAAGGAAGACATTCTTAAATTTATGTATGTAAAAATATGGAAAGTCCTACAAAGGCTACCAAAAAAGTGTTATTGGAAGCTATAAAAAAAGAAAATTTTAAAAAAGAATATGTAATAGACTAGATATTCGAAGCTCATGGTCATACTATTCTACGTCTTCCTCCTTATTATTATTCAATCCATTCGAGATGATTTGGGCTGCTGAGAAAATATAATCAATCTCCAACTGACAGTGCCTTCGTACTAGGAAATATACGAACGGTTATTAATGAAGCAAACGAGTAGTAAATGGATAAAATGTGCCCAGCATGCCATAGAAAAGGAGAATGGATATTGTATTTTACCTTCCATTGACCTCATTATTATGACCCTAAATTCAGATACAAGCTCTGAATATTCAGATAATGACTCTTAACTTTTTATTAAATTCTCATGGCAGGACAAACTGGTGTTTATCCTTGTAGGTATATGAAAAGTAAAATTAATTTAAAAAAAAATTATATCACGCTGCCCATGCTATACAAAGAAGCCGCCGACGGTCGGTAGATATTTAGTTTTTATGCCGTTCGAATTGACTTCGTATTTGCGATGCAAACTAAGTGATACGCCCTCTGGGGGAAATTTGTAGAAGGTCCCTATAAGTAGGATATCGTTCAGTGGATTTTAGCTCTTGAAGAAGTGGATAAGACCATTTATTTAAGAATAAAAATTTGTGTCTAGTTATATATAATCATACTCTATATATATTTAAGGATTTTTTTTTTATAAAACCGATTTATTATATTGATTTTTTTTAAATTTTAATTCATTTATTAATTTTGTTTTAAAATTAGTTCATCTTTTGACAACATTGGCTTTTGTGTTCATTGTTTACATTTTAATTTGTATCAATTACAGTTCGAGTTTTTTCTTACTTTAGCTTCAAATTTGTTTATTTCTTATAGTATGTGATAGTGTTTATATTAAAAATGAAATCTGCGAAAAATCCCACAGCAAATTGCAATCTACATGGTGTTAATGTCAAAATCAAAACTGAAGTATTTATTATTTCCCAAGTGCAAGTCGTAAAATTTTGTTTTTTACGATAAATGGATATCTACAAATTCACAATATTAAAATTTTGCAAAACTTTGTTTAGAATCAAACTGTAATCTGATTTTATTACGGTTTTATTACCATTTACGTGTATACAAAGTACTACACAATTCACTTCATAATATAAGAATAAGGATAGTAAGATTTTTAAATAAGTTCATCAATAATAAACGTTTGGTACCTGAAATGTCCTTTAAACCACATAATAAAACATGTTCTGGGTTTAGTAAATACATATTTCTAGATGTTCTTGTAGCAACCAATATGTGAATATTTCCAACAAATTAAGTCATACACATGATAAATATTATATTTATGACGAAAGCACGAAAACTAAACTTAAATTAACACTAAATGAAACTCAAAAACATTATTACAATGAGAATATTATCTAAAATCAGTTAAAAAATCACAAATATAAAATCCGCCCAAAATAAATACATGTAAATAAAAAAAAACATCCTACTTATAGGTGACAAATGACAGGCGCGCGAATATTAATTTGAATCGCGAATAAACTATATCTTTAAATACTTGAATTCCCTTTCAATTACCAATTCGTGTGTTAGTATCATCTATTAAAAAGCAATTGTAAAAATATATAGAAAAACAGTAGCAATTCTTTAAACTTAAATACCTTTAAATTCTTAAATAAGGTGATATCTGATTTTAATATTTTTCTGACCTAATTTTTTTAATTTTGCAGTACCTATAATTTTATTTAGTTCAAATCTGATGTCTTTATTGTTTTAGTTTTAAATTGCGTTTATATTTGACATTTATTAATTATAATAAATATAAATCTCGTCTTCTGTTTTCATTTACTCACCTTAGTCATACTCTATATTTTAACTAATCAGTTTATATATTATCAGAAGTTGTCTATTGCATCCTCTTAACTTCCATGAACATTTATTGGATTAATGTTAAGAGCAAACCGGACCTCTCGAGGAAGCAAAATTGTATTTATATGCGCACCACTGAGAATACTTCGTGATATTATGTGCCTCAAGAATATTGAGAGCTTTAAATTTGTGCAACGATAAGGCAGCTTTAAGAAAGGTGAGAAATCATCCCATTTAAAAACTAGTAAATATTTATTAAAACAGAGCGCAGCAAATTTTTATAGATTTAATACAGAATGTCGCGTAAATGTTTTTTTTAAACTCTAATTAAAATTTTTCAAAATAAATACTTTATGAAAGTCTACAAAAAATTCAAGGTTTCTTTACACTAATTTTTGTTATTGTTGGTATTTACTAAAAATTTTAGAAAAATCGGAAAAAATAAAGGCTCAGATGGAATTATAAATCTTCAAGGTGGTCGGTTTGCTCAAACACTTTTGAATTTACAAGATAATTTACAAAAATTAGTATCATGACTATTTTGCCCAAATCTAGTTACTCAAAGGGCATCCGCACTCTTTTAAATCATACTGGTATGTGTCGATTGACAACTTCTTCATAGTAATAATTTTGTATGTTGTGTAATTGGAATTACAATTTCTTCAGACTAACTTATACTGTGAATAAGCAGAATGGATATTAACTAATTAAATTTTAGGCAAATCGTATACAATGTTAGGCACTGCTGAAAGTTCAAATACAATTGGAATCATTCCTTGTGCAATATCATGGCTTTATAAAGGCATCAGCGAACAGAAGCAGAAAACTGGTGCTAGATTTTCCGTCCGTGTTTCAGCTGTGGAAATTGGAGGTCCGACCAATCAATTGAAAGATCTTTTAATAGGATACTCCAGTGGTAAATAAACATACTATATTAAATAATAATTAGGCTAGATATAAGACTCTAAGGTACAACTAACAACTGGTGAGTAGAACTTTAGTTTAAATAAGTTTAAATGTAGATAATTTAAGTTGGACTAGAATTACTCATTGATCAAATTGTAATATTAGTAAATACCTAAGGGTATTCTGTATAAAAAAGTCTGATGTTCCAAACACATAACTTTCCTGCAAAATTATCAAATATATTGTCTTGATTTCACTTTGGATGTCAAAAATTAATAATCATGCATTTTTTTATATTATAAATACGACTCCACGCGTACAAAGCCGCGGGCAGTAGCTAGTAATATTTGAATTACAAAAAAATATTTTAAAATATACCCTATTGTAAAAATGTACAGGGCGTTCAATTGAGAATTGGACATAAACAGAAAAACTGAAGATTCTCTGATTAAAAATAGAACGATTTAATGAAACATGCTTAGGTAAAATGTTACTCGTTTCCGAAATAAAGTTAAAGTTGAAAATTCGCAAAAAAATTATTGGTTATATTTTTTTAATAATTTTTACTAAATTCGGTAACCGATTTCGATGTCATACACCTATCAGCAAAAAAATGAGTTAAATAAATTTGGCAGTGATGAACGGCATGGATAAGTAACACCTTCATCCTGTTTAAATTTTACGCCACTGTCCGAAAACATATTTAAACTATATTCTTAATTTAAAAAAAAAAATTATGTTTAAAACAAAAAAACTAAAAATTTTACAAATTTAAAATAAATTAAAATAAAGAGCATCCACCTTTGTGTGCCAATATATCGAAAACCAATCACTTTATAAGTTTCCAACAAGAGTACATAATTTACGCAAAAAATATCAAAAAACTTAAAGTTATATTTTTTTTTTGGAGTGAGGGTAGCCATATGTGAGTAGTAGGGATTAAGTGTAAGGGGTTAAAGAAAAGGTCCTTTATTTCTCACAAGTCAATTTAATTGGCGACCGGTTTCGAAGTTGTCACTTCATCATCAGGCACACCTTGACTATTTCCATAAAGGAAGCGCTACATAAAGTTTAACAAAACGAGTTAAAAAAGTAATATGTAATACAATAGTATATTTTTAAAAAATATTTTAGGTTAGGTTAAACCGCGAGATGTCTGTTTGAATAAATTAATTAAAACACATGTAAGACAATTATTAACATTATAAACATTATAAACAGAAAAAGCTGTAAGAATACCATGGGCCTATAGACGGATGGTAGGGAACGTATGGGGGCCTAAACCAAGTATGACGCACTGTCTTTACAAGATGGTTGTAGTACCTGTTATAACTTACTCATCTGCCATATGGTGGCACAAGACTAAAAGCATCACAGTTAACAAAAAATTAGACAAGGTCCAAAGATTAGCCTATTAATAACAGGGGCATTTAGAACTACGCCCACAGCAGCAATGGAGCTACTGCTAGGTCTTCCTCCACTACACCTTGTGGTGGAGAAGGTGGCTATGGCGGCAGCAAAATTCAGAAATATAGACTTAAATCGCAACTAACCAAAATAACAAATTACACTCTGTACAATACTTAACAATTGTATCCCACTAGAGGACACTAAAATGAAAAATAACGCAATGGACAATCATATTGCTGAATTATATATAAAATTACCTTTTCAATGATGCGTCATACTTGATTCTTTCCCAATTTAAAGTAACAAAGGGGAGGGGAATGACGTATGACAGTTGAGAATAATAATAAAAAAAGTCTAGTCTGAACCGGGGTCTGAACATTTGTCTAAAATATCGACGGAGTTCCTGATAATGTCTTTTTGTTTTTGGTCTGGACGTCATGTATATTAAATTACAAAGGACACCGCACTTTTTACATTGATTTTGGGTACTGACAGAATTTGTTAAAATTTTAGTATGTTACTTTTCAGGTCATAATGGGCAACTTTCTTATGGCCATCAAGTTTGCAGCTCTACAGGGTGAGCTGTCAGAAGGGGTCAAAAATAAGGAGTGCAGAATTAATATTTTCATATATATCTTTACCACTCTTAAGTAATTTATGTTTTTTTCAGTAAAATTTATGGCATGAGTTATATTTGTATATTGATTGTTAATGCTTACTTTTACTTTGTTAAATAAATCATACAGAGTGTTCAAAAAATTGGAATATTAATTACCTACTGAAATAAGGTGCATTTTCAGGTATTATTACCATAATTAACACATGACTTCTAATCACTTATTTGTTATGTATATTACTGGACACTATTTATTTAACAGAAAGACAAATAATTTTTAATACAAAATTATTACAGTTTCTTTACATAGATTTAGACTTCCACTGAATTATAAATCCATATTAAAAAAAAACTACATTTCTAAAAACATGTTTTATTAAATACATTAACTATTTACACATATTCAAAATCTTACTCTACTTTCATCAGTAGGTATCTAAAATAGTTCTTAATTAAACACTTAAAGGGTACTTTATTTAATTTTCGAATCGTGCGTATTTCAGGTACCACAAAACACTTTAAATCTGAGCACACATCCATATAGTTCTTGAACCAGTCTTACATGTACAGTAATATCTAGTAATGGGTATTCTCTTAAATTTTATTGATCTCTATAAATAAAGTGTGCATTATTCGCAATTCGCAAATGTCAAATATATTGCAAAAAAACGAAGGCACGCCACATAGAAAATTTCATAATAAAAATAAACTACCTACTATCAAAAAATTCCAAATTCAAACAAACTATTGAAACTGTTCTTAAAGATAGCCCAAAGAAGAAGAAAACATACAACATAAAATGGAACTGCTACGTTTGAATATCCACATCCGATTTTTAACCTGTCGAACGTTTGTTTATCCACATCAAACGCATCTGCTCCAACTAATTTACGTATTTTGAATCACGTGATCAAAGATTCACAACATCTCAGATGCATCCGATATGGATAAACAAACGCAGCAAATGTAGTTTTAAATTGCAAAGATAGCAACGTGTTATCCCAATCATGATCATTTAGCTGTTATTTAATCTAACACTCGCCAACCTTTCATCTTGTAGAATAATTTTGTAATTATTCTGATTAATAAACAAAGAAATATGAAAAAGTTATATTATAGACTTAGAAATTAATTTAAAGCTAAATAAAAGTATATAGTGGTGTGAAATAGATAAATAATAAAAATTGGCCAGGATTAAATATCATGAGTATTCTTATCACGAAGTTTTTAAATAAATTACTACTGAAAAAAATGTAAAATTTTTTTTATGTTTTAATTTAACTAAAATTAACCTACTAAATCCTCAAAAACAGAATTATATTAAGAAGTGATAAGTTGACATCTGTACTGTATATAAACATCAGAAAGGGCATTTCAATTAGAATATGTCTTCTAAGTCATTCATTCAAGTCAGAGTTAGTAGAATTATTTCTACGTTTAAGTAGGCTTAGAACGGGACTTGCTTAGATAAGCAGAGCTATGATTATAATTATAATACTTTCTACAATATTTTAGACATACAAATTTTTCGTTAAATGCGTTTTTGTAATTCTTAGTTGTTTATGTAGTTCTGTCACACCCTGTATTACTTATAAAAATTAACTAATATGAAATGAAACAAAAAATGGTCAGAAGTCATATTCTAACTATGGTTATACATGTAAAATGCACCATATCTCAGAAACTGATATTCCTAATTTTTTGAACGCGCTGTATAATTAATTTTACAAAGTGTAAATAACCATGAACAAACTATAATACAAGTGTAACACATGACATAAGTTTTATGGAAAAAACAAGAATTACTAAAGAGTGGTGGATATATACAGGGTGGCTCACGCTCAACGGGACGGAGCTTTATGGGAAAACGACCAAAGATATAAAAAAATTCGTTTGGGAGGAATACGTAGGTTACAGACGGCTACAATTTAAAATTTGTTAGATGTATACAGGATGTTCCACATAAGAAAAAAAAATTAGTTTATTAAAAATTATTCAAACAAGAGTAAACAATTAATTTCTGGGAGACTTTTTTTCCTTAAAAATTCAAATAAATCGAAAACTAATAATATTAGTAATAGGGAACCTTTAGTTAACTGACATTATTTTTGATGTAGTTTTTAATTCTAAAATAAAAATCAGGGTGTTCCATTAAAAATAATATAACTTTGTATATTTTCTCTTATGTGGGACATCCTGTATACATCTAACAAATTTTAAATTGTAGCCGTCTGTAACCTACGTATTCCTCTCAAACGAATTTTTTATATCTTTGGTCGTTTTCCCATAAAGCTCCGTCCCGTTGAGCGTGAGCCACCCTGTATATATGAAAATATAAATTCCTTACCCCTTACTTTTGAATCCTTCTAACAGCTCACCCTGGAGAGCTGCCTACTTGAGGTTGCCCCTAATTACCTGAAAAATAACATACCTACTATCAGTACCCAAAATCAATGTAAAAAGTGCGGGGTCCTTTAATAAAATAAATAATTGACCCTATATAAAAATGGTGGTATTATAAGCTTCTTTTGATATTTCCCATCGCCCAGTCTATTTTATCTTGATAAACCTATTATTGAGACACAAATTTATTTTTGCAAGTTATTAATAATACTACATTGTACTAGGTACGTTAAAAGTTATTATTTTGAATTATATTTTAGAATCCGAACAATCACCTGGGGTGTATTTACAAGACGACCACTTATTCACTAATCAATCCCCTCCACATTGTGAACTGCGAGTACCAAGTGCTGAAAAGGCTGCTTACTACTTGGACGCAGCCATGGAATCCAGAAGTTTTTATAAAGAAGAGATGAGGGACTCACATTTTTTGTTCACCCTTCATATCTATCAATATAGTGTCGCTGGTAAAGGTGGAGGTATGCGTAAATATTTAATTAATATATACAGGGTGAGTCGAGAGGAGCGCACCAAACTCTAGGAGTATATTATACACGTGAAAATAATGTAAAAAACTCATATGTTCTTATCCGATTTTCATTTGTTTTCAAGTTATAGCAGCTGTAGCATTGCCATTACAGAAACCATAAACAAACACCATATTTGCATATTCTAAATTTGAATAAGTATCTGGCATTTTGCAACACTAACAATCATATAAATTCGAAATTAAACGTTCATTTACTGTTCACTGTACACTGACAGTTCATCAAAACGTCAGAATTATCAAATGCCTTTGAGCCTTGAACATATGGCATACTTTGATAATGTTAAAATTCAGAAGTGGAAAGCTAGATGAACATTTTTAATTACGCCATAATTTGAAAACAAATGAAAATCGGATAAGAACATATGAGTTTTTTTACATTATTTTGACGTGTATAATATACTCCTAGAGTTTGGTGCGCTCCTCCCGACTCACCCTGTATATAATATCTATAATATTTATATAATAAAAAAAATAACTTTATTATAAATAGAATCTAAAAGTTATAGAATATGTTTTATTTTATTTTAGTTATCTAATAATTTTATTTTTGGGTAGGTATTTTGTTACTGCTGCTGGAACAGCAAAAAACGAGGGAAGTACAGAGCACTAGATAAGTTTCTATCACTTGTGCTTCCATAATTTACAACCATAAATTCACTATTGTTGTAAATACTTAACTAAAACATATTAAACATAAATCAGTCGAATGCAATGCCTTTCCTTTTTTACACACCTTCCTAGCCTTATTACTTCTAGTACTCTATTTCCAATATCCTCAAAATGAGCAATTGCACAAAACTAAAGATAAAACTGATATAAAAATCACACACCAATGGGTATTTTTATTTTAAATCCACTCTCAAAATCATAAAGCTGTTAATGTACAAAACTACTTCAAATAAACAAAAGTTTGTGTGTATAATTATTGTTATTGCGCATAGTAGCGAGTTTTTAACATGGAGGTATTATTATTCAACCCTCAGACTAGACAAATAAAGAGAGGACTCGTAACGCTGCAGGAAATCGTCCTCGACCAGAAGTGTAACATGTTGGAAATAAAACAATGAACTTTTATTTATAGTATTTATTGGTCCTTTATTGATCTTTTTAGGCAAAAAGCAAGCTAAAGCGTAAAAATTAAAAAAATCCGATTTTCCAACAATTTACTGTATGATACTACACAATTTAAATTGTACTAGACATTGTATCAGATCTTGTACAAGAAATTGTGTAGTCTAAAGCCGTCTTAAAGGAATATCCTCAAGAAGGTTCCAGAAATCTTTTTCCAAAACTTTTAAAAATTTTCTTCCATTTAAGTGACCATCAAAAAAGTAGGGCCCCCACGAACCGTCTTCCCATGGTGCCACCATAACCGTTTAACGGCTATCGGGTTTGTCGATCTACAGTTCGAAATTCATGTTTATTTTCAGCTGTAATAATGAAAATTATGCCTATTCACAAATCCGTTATTATGAAAAGTAGATTCGTCATCTGTTTTTGTTAAATAACTTGACTATTGTTTAAACTTGAAAGAAGTGGTGTTTGTATCATTAAATTTCTCTTTAAAAGCTCTACAAAATGGTTTTTTAAAAGTCACTGCTGAGTTGTCCATAAGACCAGAAAATAGGGTTTTCAGATCAAATTTGGGGAAATTTTAACAGAAACAATTGTTTTTGTTAAATATCGTTAAAACTAGGAAGAAATGGTTCACATCGTTGAATTTCTCTTTAAAAGCTCTATAAACTGGTGTTTACTAATTCATGCTGTGTTGCCTGTAGGGCAAGATAATATTTATGGTACGCTTTTCATAAGCAACAGTACCAGTTTCACGAATTCTTCTTACAAGTCTTTTCTGGGATGATCTTGGAAGGGAAATTTCCGTTGCCTGATTCTAAAGATTTTTTTTCAGGAATCCACAAGAAAAATAAAATAAAACAACGTATGAACATTGCTATAACTAAATAAAATGCATTTAAAAAGCAAAATACAAATAATGTCAAAGTAATTTAAAATTTAATTGAAGATAATATTTAGAATTGTACGACACGCCACTGGAAAAAATTGCTTGTTTGACAATTTTAATTATGAAAAGCATACAATAAACAAATTTGGCAAGTAACATTTATTACTTTGGAGTGAGCCATGTACAATATATAAAGACCAAGTTGTATAATAATCAAATAAAATGAAAACTATAAAAAATATATAAAGTATAAATGTTTATGATTTACCTGTGAAACGTAATATCCGGTCCTTTCTTGTCGCTACGACTTTTACACTGATAAGCAGACAATAAATCATTATAGCAAACTAATTATCAAATGTAATTTAATTAAAAAATCACAAATAAACACGAGTAAAAAGCTGTGGTGTCGCCAAAGTGCTTAGCACCAAAATGATGGCGGCCAATCGATAATCGACACAGAATACTAGAAGTGCTCGATGTATAGGGAAAGTAAAAGTTGGAAAGGCTTTTGGTAGGTAGAGAGGGGGTAAACCTCCAACGACGTTGGACGGCTTCAAGAATTTCGCAGTAATGTTTACCTGCCAGTGTCGTTTTATGAAATAAGTAATTTTAAATTGTTATCGGCGGAACCGGACAATCGCATGTATTTATGGACTATAAATAATTATTAAACATGTATTATAATATTCAAATCATAATTTTACAAAATTTCAACAGCTATTCACAATTTATTAAACTATTTACTCGAAATTGTTATTAACATCTATAAAATAATTTTGTACACCAATGTATCGCGTTCACTTCGGTGAGATCCGCAGCAAACCTGTCAATTTATGTGTATAAAGTGGGAGAACTGGCAAAAGCCTTTCCAACTTTTACTTCTGTTCTACTTGTTGCGCATTCTCTCTCTTTCCTGGTCTAAGATTTAATTCTCATTCTTGGAGCATATAAGACTAGAGATATTATTCAATGTTTTTTGTTAGGTATAAGCGGGGTCATCACTTTTGGCGTGCGGGGAGAGGGGTAGGTACTCCATTCTCAATGGCGTACAGTTTGAAAGGGTTCGTATTTATGTTTACCATTTATTGTAGATATGTTTTTAAACTGTATACTTTCAACTGGATTCATGGTCACACATTATTTTTGTTTAGTTCAAGTAGATCATTTAGAAACTGAAATCTTTTTTATATAGAGTAAATAAAAGAAAAATAAAAACAAATAACAATAATTTATTTCTGGTAGTAATAATACTAAATGAACATATAATAAAATAATTAATCAATGTAATCAAAACATAGTTATTGGTTGTGTCTAGATATAATATATGTGTGTAGAAGTAATCTATTTATAAAACAAAACAAAAAATGAAATAAACATTAATGCTACTGAATTCCCATTAAATTTATTTATTATTTATTTGTTTAGGTCACCACTTAACAGTTTAAAACCAATTTCCTATAGAATGGGATGAATACAGAAAAAATACATTTTATTCGTGAGATATATCATACACATTTTCAGGCAAAAAATGTTCAGTTACATTTTACTGTCTATATTAGAGCACAAAACATTTTAAAATTATCACACAAAAACTTACATAATATTAATATATACACAATAGGTACTATATACACATACAAGAGCTAATATAAACTATAAAATACAGTAGAACTATTCGTAAGACATATTTATTAACTTTACAAGCAGAACACAATAGCTTCTTTTGCTTCAACTGACTAATGTTGTTGAAACTTGTTGCCAACATCAACATATCCAATATATTTTTGGCCAGTCCATTTCGCCCTTTGCATAATTACCATTTCATCCATCAAAAGATTCAAAAAATCTTTGGACTTTTTCCGCCTTTAAATTTCAATGATCTTCAGTGAATCCAGGAGAACCATCAACAGCCTAATACCACTTTGATAAAGTACTGGGATGTGTGGATAATTGTTAAATTTTTCCCTCACATATGTATACGTCTTCATACTGCAGAAGCTTAATGTTAGTACAAACGCTCTTAATTCAGGAGAGTATGTTGTTTTGGAATGATCTTTATTTGCTCTCTTGACCAATTCCTTAGATCCACTTGCAAGAGTAGCCTAAAAATAAACTAATTTGATCTAAAATAACATTTACAGTGCTTCTCAAAAGTCCCCTCCCCCTCTTTTCTTTTGAACGGTGATACTTAGACTGTTGAAATTTGGAGGGTCAAAATTAACTATTGTAAGCTTCTCTACTAGTGGTAATAGGTGACGTAATAGGCATCGGTGACGTCACCAGGCAACTGATACCAATAATATTAAATGGGACCTTATTTTAACCATCAAAGACATCGTAAATCCAAAAAAAATAGTATGATTGAATTGGTATTCTAAATACCTTTCAAACGAGGTGTCACTTGATATAAGGTCCATTTAATATTATTGGTTTCAGTTGCATGGTGACGTCACCGATGCCTATTACGTCGCCTGTTACAACTAGTAGAAAAGCTTATAATAGTTCATTGTCACTCTCCAAATTTCATCAATCTAAGTATCACCGTTCAAAAGAAAAGAGGGGGAGGGGACTTTTGAGAAGCACTGTATAAATAAAATGTTTCCTCATCATTAAAAACATTTATGAAAATTACTGGAATTAATTCTAACATCTGTACTTTTGATAAAAGAATTATTTTTTATATATATCCTATAATACTATTTAAATATTCCAAGCAACTTTGTAAAATATATTTCTCCTAAGTTTTTTAATTATATTTTTTTTTGGCATAGAATCTTCTTTTGGGCTAGAGCTAATTTTTTAACAAAAAATACCTGTTTAATTTTTTTTCTTAAGCATTGCTTTCCTGAAATCATAGTAATGCTTGATTATATGAGAAAATATCTTATTTGACTTCAACAAACCTGTGTTTTTCTTTTTTAAGTTTTCTTTCCCTTTCAGAAGCATTTAGTGTAGATGAATGGGAGCTTACAGATATTGTGGTTTTAGGTGACGAGTTTATCAAATTTTAAACAATTTTTTGTCTTCTAAAGAGAGTCCAAGATTGAAGTTCCCTGTCTTGCATATTTTCGTCCCTACAAATGAAATGTACATAAGATGTATTCTGCAGATTTAATAATGAGATATATTTAATTAAATTTCAAAAGTTCCAAAGGCTATTATTACCAGCACCAGTTTGGTTTAAAAAAAAAGAGCTAATCATACCTTTTTATTAGCCTTCTATCTTTCTTTTCCAACTTCGAAATTTTCAATGTTGGGAACTGTAGATAAGGGAATATTTTCTTTGCCGTCGTTATTTTTAAGCCTGTAAACATGAATGTAATAATAATATATGCTTAGTATTTAATAAAATAAGCAAATAAGTGTGTTTCGAAAGCCATATATATGAATATCGAATTACAATTATTTACAGTTTATATGGAAAAAACTTACTCATTTCTAAAGCAAAGTACAGGTACAGCTTTGGTATAGATCCTTTTATTAATCTATTGCTCCCTTTATAATAATGTTCAGTTGAAAATGGTTTGAACACAGACATGTGTTGTTAGAAATGCTATTAATGCTCGAACTAAATATATGACAGTTTGGTTGTGAGATCAGCAGGAAATCTGAAATAAGTAAAAAAAAAGATTTTAAATATTAATGGCAGTTGAATAAATTATGTATAATACAAAAATATATCTAATCCATTTTACATTAGGTATATGAAAAGACATAAATTAAGCGTTATCGCAACCAGTTACGGTGATGCTCTAATGAAGAACATTCTACAAACATGTTTTCTTATTCATTTGCCCATTTCCCATTTTAAGTTACGTTTATGGAATATAAAATACTTGTGAAACGTCAATCAGGATCCTTTTAAGAATTTATTATTGCAAAGTATATAAGCTTTCGGCATTAGCACTTATTTTATAATAAAAATACACTTAATAAGTTTATCAAAGAGACACGTCGTCCAAATTGTCTTTGGAAGTCACAAAAAATGATCTTTTTAAAAACGAGAACAAGACGTCAAATGAAATGTAATTTATCACAAATACGCGCGTTATTTAAATTCGCCAATCATAAATCGTCGGGTTCATAACTCGCCAATTGTAATGCGTCGTGTACCTAACACCGAAGGGGTTACCCCCCTCAGTACATAACAAACCCATTTGAGTAACACCTCTAGTCTTATATGCTCTAAGATCTCATTGGTTTTTAACCGGATTTATGACAGTTGATAGATTACCTATATCCACAAACCGTCAGTGCAGGATTCGCGTCTTTTTCTCGCTCAGGGAATGTTAATATTGATTGTTGGTTATACTAGAAACTAGAACAAATTATAGCTAAATTAACTTAGACTTAATAAAACATTGTTTTTAGTTGCTGGTGGAAGAAGTCGTCTTCATCTAATCGACTTAGGTAATACCGATCGTAGCAAAGCTAGCGGAGGTATTCCTTTATCTGGCGTGGGTAACATAATTCTTTCCATACTCAATGGACAAAAACATTTGCCTTACAAAGAAAACAAGTTAACTCAATTATTAAAGGAATGCCTGGGTCCTGTTACATGTCACACTACAATGATAGCCCATGTATCGCCATATGTCCAAAATTATTTAGATACTCTTACAACTGTACAATTAGCTTCTCGAATACATCGAATGAGACGAAGAAGGATGAAATTTGTTTCAACTAGCATTAGTAATAATAGTTCCGGAGGTAAGCCATTTTAACGCATGTAAAAATACCAAAATGATTCATGTTAAAAGTATTATTGTTCATATTTAGCAAATATGCGGTAGCTTCGCAATAAATATTTTGTGTAGGGCCTAATAACTGGTGCCCTCCAATTGTAGATAATGACGGCCATTTGACTTTCATAATTAAAAGGCCGACATATAAAGATCACCACGTCCGACACTCGGGTTGAAGTCACTTAGCCATCAAATCCAGTTAATAGACCTTCAGTTCCCCTTTAATAGCTGTAGAAATAAATATATCAGAAATTAATGACTTGTTGATGGAAATTTAACGGGATAGTGTAGGCCTTTTACCATTTTAATACTGACTCTCAATTTTTTGCAATCAAAATATTTTGACTTTTATAGTGCTTTTACGTAATACAGTTGTTTATCATTCATAAGGCCATCATCAACCAATATCGGGTCGGTGGCCTAACTGTCTAACGCGCTTATATTCATTTATAGATAAGACCAGACTATCTGGATTTTTAATTAAATTGCATGGTTCGTTATAGGATTTGATGTGTGCCGTAATAACAGAAATTCAATTTGTTGATATGACATCCAGATTATAAATCGCCATGCGTTACCATCTCGATGATGATGCGTGAGATTTTCCTTACCTGTAAGTCAAATGGCGTCATCAATCATCTTTAAGTCGCCCCGGAGCGCCACAGCAAATAATAATAGCCGTACTTTCCCCTACACTCGTAAGGGGGTGCATTATTATATAACGCTGAGCCACTATCGAAAGGTGAAAAGTAGTCTTCTACCTTTTAATCGACGAATTCATTTTCCCTTCAATTACAGCAAAAGGCCAACAATTATATTTGAGGTACTTACAGGCAAACTAAAGAAGTATTTTTTAGGAAGCTCCGGAGAAGATGTATCTAGAACAGGTACAAGTAGTGAACCAGATCCTTCTAGTAGTGATTTATCTGCAGATACTGTGATATACGTAGGTCGAGCCGAGGAAGCCACGGATGGTGAACATCCTCCTGTATATATTCCTAGCCTTAATTCAGGAGACAATAGATGTTCCATGAGCAAAGCTTTAAAGGGTAATGAAATATTATGTCAAGGTATATTTTTTATTTGAAAAATTGCGATACTCACTTAATGTTAGAAAAGCCGTTCTGTTGTCACATTTACTTATCCACTAGAACAGAGAAGAAATTGTACTATTATGAAGCTGTCTATTATATATTTCTATATTTGAAATTAATATGTTCAAGAAAGGGATGTTGAGTCCTGCGGCTCTCAATAAAACATTATAAATTAAAAATTTAAAAAACCGACGTGCAGATGCCATCACTATATCTTAACCAAATTTTGTAAGGGGTTTTCTCGCCACAGAGAAAACGGTTCCTTACAAATGGCGCTGGTTACGGGCGGTTCTCGAGCGGCAGATTTTTGGTTATGGTTTACTCCACAAACTCTCGAAACGACGTCGAAAGTACTCGGGTAGCTACAGATGGAAATGAAAAATTCCAGGGGTCAAAGGTCACTTAGAGACAGGTAATGGTAGGCCACAAGAAACGGGCTTTAATCGTTGCTTGGGCAGATACAGAATTTATCACTAGCTGAAATATAAGGGGGAAATAAAGTACGGAATTAGTAACCAGTAATACGGCAAGTTAACATTGACACATATATTGTGAATAACTATTTACACATTAAAAATAATAAAAATTATATATTTCAACGCCCACCCTCCTTGCGATGATAGTCAATATAACTCTGAACAAACAAAACAAAAAAACGGACGGTATTGAATCCCGACTAGTCTCAATCAGACGTCTAAATTCAATTAAAATAAAATGAGTGTTACGGTCGCAGAAAAAATTATTAACTTGACTATTTAGTCGGTAATTAAACTAAAACATAATTTTCCATTTCGGTAAGGAAAAATTCTAAGAGCGGTCGTAGCAAAAATTAACTATTAAACTGTCGTATCGGGAATTAAACTAAAATGTAGGTACTTAACTATTTCGGTAAGGAAGAATTATCTAAACGGTCGCAGAGAGTGCGAGGAGACAGGGTCGTGAAAGAACTACTTGTAGTAAATATTCGAAAAGGGGAAAAAAATAAATTTATACCCTGAGTAGCTATTATCCCAGAATGAGCTGATCGTCAGATGGGCTCAGACAGGGTAATGAAGCTATTTAAGATTTCTTAAATTTGCAATTTGCATGAAAAAAAAAAAATAAAGAATACAAAGAAAAAAGAAACCTAACGCGGATAGTACCTAATCCAAGAATGAGCTGATCGTCATTACGAGCCCACTCAGACAGGGACAGGATGCTATTTAAGATTATTTAAATTTGCGATAAAAGAATAAATAAACTATTAAAAGAGGGAAAACATCTCCTCAAAAACTCCGTTTCTAAATATTCCCAACTTATTTATAACACGGCACTTATTAAACAAAAGTATTTATCAATGAAATCAAATTTAATTCCCGATTTAACCTACCAAAAAGAAAAGTTTAATTTCTTAGGTCAGACTAACTATCAAATGTCTAAATCAACGGTATTACAATTTTAAAGAACTAAATCCTATCATTTATTATTTAAATCAAATTCAATTCCCTTTAAAGAAACGATATTCTATATTTAAAGAGCTAACTTCTAATATTAATGAAATCAAATTAGATCTTTTAACTCAACACTGAATTAAAATGTTTCTATTTCTAAAAGATAATTCGGTTTTTAAATTAAATACGGTCTCAATATAAAACGTTTCTTCTATAAAAATAGGAAAGTAAAAACGAAACAAGGTTTTTTTACCTAACGGATTTATGAACACGATACGAAAAATTTATCGACGGCGGACCTAATTGAAAATGCGGCTTTAACTTTTAACTGGCTGAAATCAAGTGCCTCTCCAAAATCTTTTAATTCGCCATGAAAGCGAGAATAATTCCCACTCTTCGACCAGTATCACCGCGCATCGATATTTCGATCGGCGATGCGCATCTGTCCCGACGCCTATTTGTATTAAAAATGATAAATTAATATAAACCGATTAAGGAAAAATTGACTTCGTTACAATTTATGTGGGACCACCCCTGAGGTACCCCCTTACTAACAAAAAAAGAATCATTGAAATCGGACACCGTGTTAAAGAATTATCGCTGAACATACATAAAAAAAAATATTGCTCAATGCATTGGATCTATCGATTTAATACCCTAAAAATACGTATAGAATGACATTTTAACTTTGAAATTGAAACTGAACCTTCCTGTCAAATTTGTGAATACTTTTTTTAAGAAAATTAAATGTATAAAATGGTATTCAACACAGATCAGAAGCAGCAAGCAAAAAATTTCGAATGTTACTTCCATACAGGTGTGAAAGTAAATAGCGACTTACAGTGTAGTAATGACAAACCAGAATGGATGGCTTTATTTAACATAAAATCATGCATACAAAATAAACTAGTAATACTAACAATGACAATGAATATAAGAGTTGACAATAATAATTATTATATCACCTTATTCTCGCCTTTAAAACCTGCAGGAATCACTCAAATAGTTCGGTGGTTTTTAATTACGTCATAAAAGTGTGACATAATTTTGGTTTAACTGACAGTTTATTCTAACCATACTTCTAGCAATATTTGACATATATGTTTTTACTGTTTTTAAGTTTTGTCATAAATAGTATTTGTAGGTCATAAATAACAGTTTAAAGGCATGTAATTGGTTACTAAATGATTTTATACTTGGTGCATTTTATCTACTTACTCTAGGAATACATTAATAAAAATTCAAAAACTGTGACAAGCTTCCTTGAGGTACCCCTACTTTAGTTTCTTTAAGAAGAGTGAAATAGTCTTGTTCTTGTTTTAGTTGTTCAGCCAAGTAGGATTTTAAGATGTCACAATATTGCTTAGATAGAAGTTTATTTTATATTCACGGCCCTCTAACCATACTTTATCGAAAGCGTGATCTACATCTAGAAAGAGTGAGGTGCAGATTTTCTTTTCTTCCAGTGTTTTCTCTATTTCTTTCGTTATTCTATGGAGTTGAATAATAGTGGAATTCTTGTTCCTAAATCTAAATTGGTGGTCAGATATTATACAGCGAGCACCATAAGTCTTACCCCCCCTATCTAACTCGTTACTGGAGTCTTGTTAGGAAAATCGCCGAGACAGATCGATTTTTGATTTCTACAATGTACATTTTTGTATAAATAGTTTACCCTTAATTTCATCCCTTACTGGAGGGGAGCAACCCTTTCGAAAAATTTAAATGGCATGGGGTGGTGAGTGATAGTTCATTTAAAAGAGGGTTTTATTCTCTATTCAACCGTGTAAAATTTGCTTCATTAATTCTCGACTAATTGTTGTTTCAGAATAACGGAAATTAACGTAGCGCACTCATCCTTTGAATTAAAATTCGGCCCTGCATGACTTTGGTTTTGGTTCAGACGTGAAGTAAGACTTTTTGCAATTAGAAGGTCACTGTTAGTCTAGTTGCTTTCCTATTTTGTGAGGTTTTGTTATTTTTAAACATTAATAAATCAACATGTAATGATGCAAATTTCAAAATTTTTTTGCACGGTTGAATAGAGAATAAACCCCCCTTTCAAATGAGCTATCACTCACCACCCCATGCCGTTTAAATTTTTCGAAAGGGTTTTACCCTCCAGTAAGGGATGAAATTAAGGGTTAACTAATCATGGAAAAATGTACATTGTACAAAATAAAAATCGACCTGTCTCGGCGATTTTCCTAACAAGACCCCAGTAACGAGTTAGTTAGGGGGGTAAGACTTAAGATGCTCACTGTATTTTTACTGTCTATCATGGGTTTTGATCTTTTTAGTTAAAGTTTTTGGAAAAGTTTAGACAGCACTGGTAACATTTGGTGGTTTTCCAGGTTTAGGTATCATTATAATTTCAGCGACTTTCAGTATGTTAGGTATATGCTCTAGCCAAAATGCAGCGTTTATTATATTAGGACATGACAAAATAAATTATTAATTTCTTTGATGGAATAAGGAAGGTTCTTCCAAAGTACTCAGTGAACCATAAGGTTAATGCCTGAATGGCACACATATTGGTGTAAATCAAATAAGTTCTCTTCATGAGTGATATTGGCACAAACATTTGACAGATTGTCAGCTTTTGAGAGAGTATCAGCTATTAAATTCAAGTTTCCTGGCCTATATAATTTAAAGAACCCTGAACGCCACCTCAAGATTTTATTATTTTAAATGTTACCTGACTGGTTACTATTAAACATGAAAGATACAGATTTTTGGTTGGTTTGGAGAGTAAGGGCCTGTCTTTTCACCTCTGAGTAAAGTGGAAAGTACTCGTAACTACTTGTTAATTAAAATATAGGGCTATTGTTATTTATCTGTCAAATAAACCTACATGTAACTTTACTTAGAGGTGAAAAGATAGCAATTAGATAATGGCGTCACTTTCTGAGAGATTTCTAATTAAATCTTCCGAGCGAATTAAAAGATCACCAACTTATTTGAGTTATTACTGCAGTTTTGAGAGGCGGGAAGAATGTAATAAAATATTTAATTTGTAAGGAGTTTTCTCGCTACAGAGGATACGGTCCCTTAAGAGTGACATTTGTTACGGACAGCTTTCGGACGCCAGATTATTTTAAGGTAGTTCACTTCACAAACTCTAGAAGATGCGTTGAAAGTACACGGTCAACTACAGATGGAGATAAAAAATTCTAGGGGACAAAGATCACTTAGACAAAGGTAATAAGTATTCACAAGCAATGGGCTGTAATAGTTGCTTGTGATTATAAACAATTTCTCACTAGCTGAAAACTAAGGGGAAAGTGAAGCAAGAAAATTAGTAACGACATAATATTCTTAGTAATGCCCCAGAATAAGGGTGACACATGTATTGGATTCTTTTCTGTAAGTTAAATTTAATGTGTAACTATTGTTGTTTGTAAAATTTTATATTATAGAAAATAAACTACACTTTGTAAGATACGGGTTGTGACTACCCAGCTAGCACAAAAACATCCCATCTACGTTAATAAGCTGCAATTTTAGGCTCTTTAAGCTCGCATG